TTTAAGAAGCTTTACAGCAGAAATGTGAAGTCCATAACCTGGGAGACTAATGCTACAGGGAGCATATTATCAAATGCCAGGAAAGGAAGTTCATCCCGCAGGTCTTAACGGGACTGGTTCCTGCCTGGTTTCAGTTGAACACCATTGTAGACTGCACTCAACACCTGTGAAGATCTGGGCAGTTCAGATCAGTGCTGGAGGGCAGACCTGTGGGGGGAGCGTATCTCACTGGGTCCTGTGCCTCTGGAGTACTTTCCCACCCTCGTAACGAGCAAAGGAGTCCAATTCCAGAGTTAAGCGCCAACTCCATGTATGGCGTTATATTTGTTCTTTTTGGATCTCATCATGCAACGCTCACATAGCAACTGGCCAGTAGTTAAGATCCTTGCATGAGGATCCTTTTATCCCTCTGCTCAGAGAATCACATTTGCTAGTGGTTTGACATCCTGTCTTTAGGTCTAGAATACTGACTGTGGTATTTTAAAATATAGGGGTAAGCTTTGTGTTTGGAAAAAGCAGATGTATCGAAGTTCCTATGATACACTCGAAAATTACGTTCCAGGAACACAACACCACTTTGTAGTGCTTTCCGTGGCCAGAAATAGCATCTTGCTTTCTCATGCAGCTTCTTATTGTGTGTCATGATTAAAGCACATATTAATATACTTACATCTTTTGTTTGTGGAACCTATTTCCTAGCCGAATTTGCACATAAGTAAAGACTCTGCATAAAGCCTATATTCTATCACATACTCTATAGTAAGCGTTTTTAAATTTGAGCAAAAGTCAGCAGCATCCCATCTCCATCCTCCCTGAAAGTGTCAGTGAGGATATCATCCTGTCGGCATCATTAGGGTATCATGTGCAACCCTTGGAAAAATGACACATCTACCACTAGGATAGTGGTTATTAGAATTGTCTGCCTTCAGTCATTGGAGCAAGGCAGTATAAAAATAAACAGAAGTGTAAGTATTAATATGTCCTTAATTGAAGTGTCAAGCTGAATTTCATTTCAGGAAAACCAGTTTGTTTTCTTTTCAAGATTCTCTGCCTAATTTACATGCCCTGCCCTCAAATTGATCTGCTATTTAACGTGACTTTTTCTTCCCCTTCCGATCACTTTATACATGCTGTTTTTCCCTTTAGCAGAGCCTAATATGACTGAGAATAAAGCCACAAAGGTTACGAGATGGCAAACAGAATGAAAACACTGAGGAAGAGAGGAAGTTTATTGTTTTGTCCACCCCACCCCCACCCCAGGATTGGAGTAAAGATGTTAGATTAACCTAATCTGCTTTTATTTGTGTGTGTGTGTGTGTGTGTGTGTGTGTGCGCTCGCGCATACGTGTAATGTCTTTTAGGGGGAACTCGAACGGCAGCTCTTACAAGCGAATCCAATCCTGGAATCATTCGGAAACGCGAAGACCGTGAAAAATGATAACTCATCTCGTTTTGTAAGTTTAAAAGCACCCGAAACTTATAATTTCTCAGATTTTTAGTGAAATGTCTACTGTGATCCAGCAAAGAGAGTACTTGTCTTCCTAGATTTTAGGGAGAGGCTAATAAAGGATGTGGTACAGAATGATACAGTCCTGTAGAAACGTGATGAGTCACATGTAATTTGCAATCTTCTAGTAGTTTTGCATTTTAAAAAGGAAAAAACGTGAAAGTAACTGTAATCCTGTATTTGCATATGTAATTGTGTATTGTACGGGTAGATGATCAGGTAGCCTCTCTGAACTTCTTCGTCTTTGGGGATGGTCTACAATACGTGTTGCCGAGCGGGCATAGAGCTTACATGAGGATGCATGTGGAGTACTTAGCACAGTACTGGGAATGTAAACGCTCCACAAACCAAGTTGGCATTCAGTGTAGTCAGCTGTCGTTTTCATACTTGCTGTTTCTCCTGGGATATGGATGTCAGAAGAATGCAACAATATGATTACTTCTCTCTAAAAATTACTTCTCTATAAAGATACTCCTCTATGAAAATAGGGTTTTCTTAATTCCTGGAAAGCTCTCCCCTCTTCCTCCGTTTGACCAGCTGTGACCGTTTGCATGAGGCTGTTCTCCTAAGCGGTATGTCCCCTGTCCAGCTACGCCCTATTGACGTGTCAGTGCCAAATCTTCTCTAAAATCATATCCAGCAAAATGGGCGTGCCTGCTGTAAACTTCTTGCCTTGAATTATAGTCCTCAAGATTCAGTTAACCGTTTTCCACAGATTGGAGAGGGTCTTCAATTACAGTTATTTCTACTTAAATCATTAGAGTTAATTCTATGTTTTTCCTCCCTCCTCCCATCCTAGAAGTATTTGTACAATTCAAGGCCACATCAAAAGAGACTTTACTAATGACTCCTTCATGGATAATCTGGGGGAATCTAGTATCACGGTGACATACTCTGCTACTCTGAGTATAATGTGAAGTCCTGGCGTTCATGTTGATTTTCTGATGGCCTAGGTTGTGTGATTAGTGGAAGCAGCCAGATATGGAATCACAGAGGACCCATTGAGCCCGAAGGTAGCTAGCTAACCCTCTGTATGAGTTGGTAGGACTGCCTTGATTTTCTTTTGGAGGCTGGAGGTCCAGGGTTAAGGTGTGGCAAGGTTGGTTTCTTCTGGGGTCCCTCTCTGTGGCTTATAGATGGCCATCTCCCGGTGTCCACGTGGTCCGTCTTCTGTGTGCATCTGTGTCCTGTTCTTTTCTTTTTTTTTTTTTTTTTTCAACGTTTATTTATTTTTGGGACAGAGAGAGACAGAGCATGAACGGGGGAGGGGCAGAGAGAGAGGGAGACACAGAATCGGAAACATGTCCTGTTCTTTTCTTGTGAGGACACCAGTCGTGTGGGACTAGGGCCCCAGTGACCTCATTTTAACTTAATTATCTTTGTAAAAACCCTCTCTCCAAATATAGTCCTGTTCTGAGGCAGTGGGGGGCACCTGGGTGGCTCATTCAGTTAAGCGTCCAACTTTGGCTCAGGTCACGATCTCGCAGTTCTTGGGTTTGAACCCCATGTCGGGCTCTGTACTTACAGCTCAGAGCCTGGAACCTGCTTCAAATTCTGTCTTTTCCTTTCTCTCTGCCCCTCCCCCGTTCATCCTCGGTCTCTCTCAAAAATAAATAAACATTTAAAAAAAAATTTTTTTTTAAAGAATTTGAGATGGGACACGACTCAGCCCATGGCACCCAAAGAGGTAGTTCGAGTGCGAGAGGCTTTCCACATTATGGAGGAAATAGGAAGCTATTTGTTTGGAGTATTGTTTATTCCTAGTAAGATAATCGCTTCATCCAAGTTCATTAGGTCATTATTTTAGCTTTTTATGGACAGAGTGGAATAACAAATATGCCTGTGTCAGGAGAAAGCATAGCTGTGACTTTGGGGTTTGTAAAAGGTCTGGGGAAGCTAAGGTTCATTTATAGGGTTTTATCATCCCTGGGTCATCAGCACTGAGCGTGAGCCACATTTAAATCTTAAATTCTTCCTCCTGAAAGCCCTGCATTTAGCGGCTGTATCACGGGATAGAAGACACAGTGAGCTACCAGCTTTGGGATGTGGATTTCCATGCAGATTTACAAGGATTTCTTAGTGGAAAATGCTTTATTTTACTACATAAATCAAGTTACCAGTCTTTTCTGATTTCCCCTGCCCCAAGTCACACTTTAAATTCAGGAGAAACCGTTTTGTGCCTGTTTGTCTCATCTTTGCCTGGAAAAGAAATTATTGGGGCACCAGGGTGGCTCACTTGGTTGAGCATCTGACATGATCTCAGCTCAGGCCATGATCTTGTGGTTCATGAGTTCAAGCACCACGTCGGGCTCTGCACTGATGGCATGGAGCCTGCTTGGGATTCTCTCTCTCTCTCTCTCTCTCTCTCTCTCTCTCTGCCCCTCCCCTGCTTTGTCTTGCGCTCTCTCTCTCAAATCCATAAAAACCTAAAAAAAAAAGATAAATTGCTGCCATCCGGTCCTTTGGTAAAGACTGTAGTGAGTGCGTTACTAAGCAGTAAGGACCTATCTGCCTGCCAGCGTTTGTACGTTTGGGACACGTGGAAATAGGATTCCGTATTAGTTACCTGTTGCTGTGTAACAACTTACCCTAACCCTGGTGACTTGAAACCTGGATCATCTCCGCTTCCATGTGATGGGTGGTTCTGACTCGGCATCTCTCGTGAAGGTGCCACGAAGGTGCTGTTGGTGAGGGCTGCGGTCACGTGAAGCTTGAAGAGGCCGGAGGCTCTTCTTCCAGACTTACCCGGGTAGCTTTTGGCAAGAGGCCTTAGTTCCTCCAAGGCATCCCTCACCTCAAAGACCTCTCTATAGGGATGTGTGCTCATGACATGGCAGCTGGTGGTCCCCAAGAGCAGATGATCCAAGAGAGCAAGACAGAGGCCACACAGTGTTCTTTCCCATCTTAGAAGTCACGGGCCAACGCTGTGATGTAGTTTGGTGGCCACGGAGACCAACCCTGATACAGCGTGGGAAGGGACTGTGCAATGACAGCGGTACTGGAGGTTGGGGGTTACTGAGGCCATCTCAGAGGTTGGCTGCCGCACATACATCATTAGAGAGATTTCCGTATTGACAAAGGCAGGTTATAATCTGTAATTTGCAATACTCTGGATTAGCGGTTCTCAGTTGGAGTCCCTCAGGGGACATTTGGTAGTGCCTGGAGGCATTTTTGGTTGTTTGGTTTCAGTGATGGGTAGAGGCCAGGGATGCTGCTAAACATCCAACAGTGTACAGGATGGACCCCACGACAAAGAATTATCCAGTCCCAAATGTCCGTTATGTCGAGGTTGAAAAATCCTGCTCCAGCTTGTTTCTTTAAATTAGAGTCTGAATCAGGGCACTTGGGTGGCTCAGTCGGTTAAGCGACTTTCGCTCAGGTCACGATCTCACAGTTCATGAGTTTGAGCCCTGAATCAAGCTCTGTGACAGCTTGGAGCCTGGACCCTGGTTTTGGATTCTGTATCTCCCTCTCTCTCTGCCCCTCCCCTGCTTGTCCTCTGTCTCTCTCTCTCAGAAATATACCTTTAAAATTTTTAAATTAGAGTCTGAATCAAAGTAATCACTTGTCAAAATTTATTTGCAAAGTAATTACTATACACAAGTCTCCTTAAAGCTTATTATTTATGCATCCTGTTCTGAAAGTGCATGTAAATAATTCTGGTAGGAACTTGTTTTACATCCTACTGGCAGGAAGAACTTCTTAGGTTGTTTTCTTTTTTCTTTTTTTTTTTTTTTTTTAATTTTTTTTTCAACGTGTATTTATTTTTGGGACAGAGAGAGACAGGGCATGAACGGGGAAGGGGCAGAGAGAGAGGGAGACACAGAATCAGAAACAGGCTCCAGGCTCTGAGCCATTAGCCCAGAGCCTGACGCAGGGCTCGAACTCACAGACCGCGAGATCGTGACCTGGCTGAAGTCGGACGCTTAACCGACTGCGCCACCCAGGCGCCCCCTTAGGTTGTTTTCTAGCAAGATCCTGCCAGCAAGAATACCTACCCAGTCTAAATCTTCAATAAACCCTGTTTGAGCTAGAGTTCCACCTCCCAAAGGTCTTATTCTGCCTATTCTATTAAAAGATAATCTCCTGGGGCACCTGGGTGGCTTAGTTAAGTATCCAGTTCTCGGTTTCAGGTCACGATCTCATGGTTTGTGACTTCGAGCCCCGCATGGGGGCCCTGTGCTGCGGGTGCAGAGCCTGCTTCAGATTCTCTGTGTCAAAAATAAATAAACTTAAAAAAAATTTTTTTTAAAGCTTATCTTTTAAGAAAATATTTTTCATTAAGGCAGTGTTCCTACACATAGCTAGTTCAACTGAGAAACAAAAATGTCTTTAAATTGTTGACTTGGTTGAGTGATTTCAGCTCAGGTCATGATCTCCCGATTTGTGGGTTGGAGCCCCGCTTTGGGCTCTGCTGACGGCACAGGGTGCATCCTCTGTCTCCCGCTTTCTGCACCTCCCCACTCATGCGCTCTTTCAGTAAACATTTAAAAAAATAAAAATAGTTGACTTCGGGCTGTAATTCTTAGGAAGTCAACTTCATATTGATATTTATAGGATTTTCCAGAGAAATAGCATAGCCAGCTACTAAACTATCCAAAGGCGTTAACCGCACCAAGCTACAAAAGTAGTTGATTTTAGTGGTTCCATAAAAAATAGCGGAGTGAGTGGCCGCATGGGCTGTCGGGAGCTCAGCTAAGTCGAGGCCTCCCTGTGAAGGTTTCGGTGGGCGCTGCCGCCGCCAACGCTTTGCTTCTCGCGGCGTCAGCGGGCGGCCCCGTGTAGGCCCGTCTTTTAATCACATGTTCCAGAATGTCCATCTCGTTGTGCAGTTCGGCTCATTACGGAGCTCCTGCGCTTTGCCGGGCCCTGTGGTGCCGCCTCGTTCTTGCCGTTTGGCGGTCTTCGTGGTTTTCGCAGCTTTAACGTGTTCCAATTGGAACCTTTTCTATTCACAATGTGCTCCTTCCGTCTTCCGTCACTCTTTGGTGCCACCAAACCTCCCGGCTGCGGGAGCGTGAAACGCAACGACGAAAATCCTCCCGGACTCCGCCTTGCCTCGTGGCCGGTGTCCAGACTGGAGTGAGCCCTGTGGGTCACTCTTCCAGGACGTACTCCCGGTCTGTCCACGATTGCCCGACTGTGTCTCCTGAGCACCTGATCGGGTTGTTCGTCCGTCGCTGCCTTCCTCACCGCGCTCCTCGGCGTCTGTGGGCGGCCGCTGTGTGTCGTGCGGGAGCGCGCGGCGTCTCGCGGGAGGACGTCAGCCTGTTCTCGCGATCCTTCGTTCCTGGCACGGCGCCTCGCACGTGCGCGTACGTAGTGGGCGTCTCGTAGTTACGGAATGGGCTCGGTTAGGCTGCGCGGCCTACTGGGTGCCGCCCGCCCGCTCTTCCAGGCCCCGGGGGCGTATCCGAGCCCCTGGCCTCCTCAGGCTCCTCTGCACCCGGGCCTTCAACCTCCGGGCACTGATGACCACGTGCGCCGGGCCCTCTGGGAACACGCGGGCCCCGGGGCTGGACGCGTGGGCCGTCTGAGATCCGTGAAGGGACGGCTGTGTGGCCAGGACAGGCGGGGGCGGCGCCCCGCGTCCCGCCGGAGGAGCGACAAGTCGCGGAAACGGCGGGTGGACAGGGGAATTGCGCCAAGTCGTTATTTGCGGTGAAAATGCTCGAAACTACAAACTCCCATCAGCTTTTAGAGTCCATTTGTTTCCATCTCTTTGATCTGATAGAGACGAATCATTTCCTGAAGATGATCTTTTTCTTTCCAAGTTGCGAGCACATGGTCCGTATTAAAGGGGATTCTTTGAGGAGAGCATTACCCTTAGGAAAATAATCGTTCACGGTTAGCCCCGGTCTGTTTGTGGAGAAGTCAGATGCATTCCAGATGCAGGCGGTTTGTGTGAGATGAGTCTCTCGTAACGGAACTTTTAAAATGGGGACTTCACTTTCTGCCTTGTATCCACAGATACATCTTGCATCTAGCAGGAAGCCCTCTGTATTTGTGCAAAGATCTTTTTTTCTCCCCCAAACGGAATCAAGCCATTTTGGCAGTCCCCAGTTTCATGTGCCTTTTTGGTAGATAATGAGCCTCAGTAGCGAGAGCCCGGTAAAGGCCCCGGTGCCCTGCCTACCGCTGGGTTACCAGATGACGGTGAAAGCAAGCCAGGGTTCTGCACCCCCACGTGTGCTTCTAAGCAAGCAGACACTAAAAACAGTCTGTAAGTAAATTGAATGCACTCACTGCTGTCTCTTGAGTACTCCCAGCCTTTCCCTAAAGATTCCCCGGGGGCAGATGTGACCATGTCAGCGACAGAGGACAGTTTGCAGCGGGAAACCAATCGAGCATGGAGCCCGAGGCAGCCTTCTTGACAGACACGGCAGCTTCCGGGCCTTTCTGGAGTCTTAGCACCTTGTTCACACCAGACCGGGGGTGTCTATTTCCAGTCAGTCCACGTTAACCCCGGAATCTTTATATCTGTTACATACTACGCAACAAGACCCCTTAGTTCACGTGAAAACCCATCTTGTTAATTCACGAGCTTCTGGTATAGTTTGGGGGTCACCGTAGCTGAAGCCGTGGACACCACCATCTGGCCTCTGGATTAAATCTCGCTCGTTACTCTAGATCAGGCACTAAGGGAACCTGTCGTCAGGGGAGCATAAAGGGGCCTGCGGGTGCCACTTTGAATAGCTGCTAGCCCGGAATGCCGTGTCTCTAGAAAACACTGGAACCGTTTCCCTTGTAGCCAGGAGGTCAGGATCCAGTTGTGGTGTGTCAAGGACCAGTGTTGTTCGTGGTAGTTTTACTCCAGAGAGCTTGCAGATAAACCAGCATGGAGCCTCCCTTTAATTACCCTGTGGCTTCAAGCAAACTAACATACTTAGAAACTGTAAGATTACTCGGCTCCAGTGGTACTCCTGCGAAGCTTTCTCTGTCCTAATCGTGTGACGCTGTTCTCTGTGTCCCCACAGCCCCTCTCTGTCCTTTGGAGGGGCCCTGCCACCGTGTCCCTCGGGTGTCGAAAGAGCAAAAGCCTCATGATTCTGCTTCTGCTCGGGGCCATTAGGTCAGCATCTCTCAGTGCCATGGTCGTACGATTTGTGCAAAATGGTCATTTGTATAAAAGTCGTACTCGTGTAACCTCACAAGAGCCTGTCTCAAAAGAAGACAAGTTTTGTCCTGTTAAAAAAAAAAAATCTACGCAAAACTTCCTGTCCCCACTCCCCCCACCCATAACAGAACCCACCACCCAAGTGAGCAACTTGTCATTTTTGTTTTGTGACTCTGAGTAGCAGAAAAATGCTAAGTGTTCTCTAGCAAGCCCTAAAAGATGGATTTGCATTGTGGTTTTATTTATTTATTTATTTTAATGTTTTTTTTTTTTTTTTAACTTTTTTTTTTCAACGTTTATTTATTTTTGGGACAGAGAGAGACAGAGCATGAACGGGGGAGGGGCAGAGAGAGAGAGAGGGAGACATAGAATCAGAAGCAGGTCCAGGCTCTGAGGTGGCAGCACAGGGCCCGACGCAGAGCTTTGAACTCACCAACGGTGAGATCATGACCTGAGCCAAAGTTGGTCGCTTAACCGGCTGAGCCACCTGGGTGCCCCTGCGTTGCGGTTTTAGATGGAACGGAAAATGTTGTTAACCTCACGAAGTTCGGTGATTTAACATCAGCTTTTAGGCCAGTGGGCGTTGTGGGTGCCAGTGACAGACGCCATCTTGATTTCCTAGAAACCTGGTTTCACGTGTTCTGTTCTGTTGCCCACATACGCCCAGTCATAACTGTGAGACTTGTGGTTTAGCCTGTGTTGTAACGGTTTCTCGTGTAGTCAGAGGCATTTTCTACATGGCCTTGCTCTTGGTCACAAAAGGCCTTTGCATCCTACAGGAATCGTGCTTCTCCCCTCCCTCCTGAACACTCTGGGCGTTAGCAGCATCTGAAGCAGACCCTTCGTGGAATGTCCGTTGTGGTGGGTGACATGGCACCCCTGGTGTTACTGAACCAGCCATGCATTCCCGGGCAGAACAGGGCTTTCAGATAACGTGAGGCAGGATACTTCCATGGTGGTGGGAGTGGAAGACCCAGGAGGAGGGCGCAGGGCTTCGAGGTAGAATTTACTTGCCTCCCCCATCATTTGTTGGTCCTCCAGCAGGAAATAGCATTAGATTTCCCCACGTGCATTCTCTTTTCACCTTGTTTTCCTCGCTTGGTTTGCAGTTTTTTTAATTGGAAAATTGGGTGAGTTCTCTGTGAATGCGCATGATCTTGAACAAAAAAAACATTGGGGACACTTGGGTGGCTCAGCAGCTAAGCATCCCACTCTTGATCTTGGCTCAGGTCATGGTCTTGCAGTTCTTGGGATCGAGCCCTGCGTTGAGCTCTGTGCTGACGGCTCGGAGCCTGCTTGGGATTCTCTCTCTTCCTCTCTTTGCCCGTCCCCTGCCCTCTTGTTCTTTCTCTCGTAATAAAGAAATAGACATTTAAAAATGAAGTATGATTTTAGTGAATTATCCTCTTGTTTTCAATTGCAAAAGTCAATATTACTGAGGTATAATTTGCACATAATATAGTTCAAATTTTTCTGCGGTAGCATCCCAATACTTAAGTACTCGTTTTTTGTACGTAGAGCAAATATTTCTGTGATAAATGTAGGCCTAACATGGGAAAGGTGAGAAGGGTCCTGGTGGGTAGGAGCATGGGTGGGTGGACTGGACACCCAGTAGAAGGGTGTGGGCCACGTGTAATCTATTCATAGTAAATAGAAGGAACTAATTATGTTTTTTAAATTTTAAATTTTAAAATTATTTATAGGATCCTAAGATATCTTCCTTGGTGATTTATAAAAATTAAGCTGAGTTTTGCATCAAATAAAATTCACCCTTTTTAGGTGTACAGTTGGACAGGGTTAGACAAATGTGTATTGTAGGGAGCCCAACACCGTGGCCCAGAGAGAGAATATTTCCTTCCCTTGGGAAAGCTTCCATTTGCCTTTGTGTAGTCTGTGTAGCCCGGCCCTGGGAACCACT